AATATTTTTATTTCTTATAGATGATTCTTTCACTGTCGAAGGATCGCGGGAGGTATTTCGTATCCATGAAAAGGTAGTTGATAGGGCGGGTGAAAGATCATACTTTATGATTCATTGAAGAAATGGCTATCCGTGAGTAATAATTTTTCGGATCCTGTAGGTAGTACGGAAATGTCGCCGAAATGTACGATTTACCCAAGAAATTATTTCAAGGGCAGTGAAGTTTTATGAAGCCAAAGTGCGGAGGGTTCGCTACAATCTAATGTATTTCGTCGATATTTTCATCTTACGGTCGATAGATTGTATACGTCAATGTGATGAAAGTTGCCTCCGGGTCGATACCGCGTCCCTCAATCTGACACAGGATACGCTCCTCTCACACTTTTGATGACGGATGGGCCAAGGACAACAGTGCATTAAGACAAAATTTAAACATTGCCATTTAAGATAAAGGAAGCCCGCTCCCGTTGGAGAGAGTAGGGGGGCATGGAAGGTATAAATGCATAAAATCGGTGGACAAGCGCTCTTCCGCATCAGTTTTCCACGAGCTGTGCCAGTGTTCAGATCAGTGACGGAAAATGGATTTAACACACTTATATATTCTTGCTATAGCTATGATTCTGGATACTAACGAAACAGAGAGAACAGAAGAGGAAGAGAGTGATGAAGAGAGTGAAGAAAAAAGCAATGTAGTGTATCCTAATCGTTCGAAAAAGCGGTATTGGGTTCATCCTCTTTGGAAAACCCGTGAAACAGAAGGTGAATTTGCCATCCTGATATAAGGGCTCACTGATTACAAGGAGAAGTTTATGGAATACTTTAGACTGCCGCGCTCTGGTTTTGAAATTTTATTTCAAAATTGAATAACATATTCAAAAATCATAAAATTGGAGCCCTACTTAACGAAGACCGACACTAACTGGCGGTGTAGCATTACAGCAAAGCAAAGATTAGCGGTTTGCCTGCGATACATACCTTATGTTTAAGTTCATTTCAATACATAGTTTCATGTACAGTGTTTTACGTAATTTATACTATCCGTTTCAGATTTCTGGCAACTGGGGACTCCCACAAAACAATTTGTTTTAGTTTCCGTCTTGGACACACGACCGTAAACAGCATCGTTAATGAAACGTGTGCAACCATTGTAAGTACATTATTACATGAGGTAATACCGGAACCCACAAAGGACACATGGAAAAGAACTGCGGACAACTTTTGGGCGAAATGGAATTTTCCAAACTGCATTGGCGTATTAGATGGAAAGCATGTAGTAATAGAAGCGCCAGCCAATTCCGGATCGCAATACTACAATTATAAGAAAACGTTCTCCATCGTCTTATTAGCATTATAAATTCGTGTTGATGCGAATTATAAATTCATCGCTGAGGACGTCGGGGGATACGGAAAGAGCAGCGCTGGGGGAATTTTCGCCAATTACGCGCTGGGCCTACGACTGGAGGCAGGCACTCTGGATGTGCCCGAGGACAGGGAATTGCCTGGCAGCGAACTTACCACCTCGCACGTCATCGTTGCCGACGAGGCGTTTCCGCTAAAAACGTACCTCTTGCGCTCATATCCGGGTGCCGAGTTAACACACGACAAGTGGATCTTCAACTATCGGTTGACTCGTGCAAGGCGTACCGTGGAGAACACGTTTGGAATTTTAGCTCAAAAATTCCGCGTGTACCAACGGTGGTTGCGGGCAAATCCACAAAATGCAGACAAAATAATTTTATCCCCTGCATCTTGCACAATTTTATCCGCAACCTGCAGCAGGAACCGACCAACGTGGCGGCCGGAACATTAGCACCGAAAGAGATCGTCACGAATGTTCTCGAGAACCTGCCTCGTCAAGGAGGCCGAAGAAGTGCGGAGGCACTTTCGACGAGGGAGAAATTTAAGGATTACTTCCTTTCGGAAGCTGGCAGCGTGCCATGGCAAGAGGAGCACATTTGACGTATGCACATAGAAATAAATGTGAAAGAAAGAAATGTGAATTTTTTTTTATTCTTTTTTATTGTCATCTACTTTTTTATATTTTTCCGCTAACATGGATTGGAGGTACCGAAATATGTAGGTCCTAGTAGTCCTAAATTCATCCTCATCCAATTCATCCATCATTGATTTCATTAATACCAAGAACGCGTCAACCGGAGTACGCTTTTCTTCTCGCTTCTGCACGTACTCCATGACTAATGTAATATTGTCATTTATTTCGTGGCGTTTCCGTTTTCTTGCATTGCCCGTTGGTTGGCTCGGGCCTGCCTCCGGTACAGTTACTTCTTGCTGCACTGGCATTTGTATACTCTCTTCCTCTGCTATGTCTGTACATGTATATTTCCATTTGTGCTTAATGTGTTCACAAACAAAATAATAAAAAGAAAGTATATTACTTACCATAGTGTTTTTCATCTTGAGACACGCTCCCCACGGTCTCTCTACACTCCAATGTGGACTTCAAGAATCCTAGCTGTTCAGCATATTTGTAACATTTTAACTGTTTCGATGATTGCCCACTCTTGGTGCTCAATTTCTGAATAGATTTCCGGTAGCATTCCCGTATATTTCGCCACCTCATTTTACATATCGTACCTGTAATAGTGGACGGTTTTTTAATTACTCTTGTCTTTTTCTTACACCTCAAAACTTGGTCACACATATTTACGACACACACACACACACACACACACACACACACGTACACACACACATACACACACACACACGTACACACACATGCGCGCACGCACAATTTTCGATATTGCGCAATGTAAAGTGTTTCTTTAAAGAATGTACAATATTTTCTATACGCCTTGTAGTTGTATGCCGTCCGAAATTGTTAATTGAAAATTGAAATGTTCACTTCCTTCGTGACAAAGACGAAGGAGGTAGCTTCGGACAGTCGTATACGCCAACATCTGGCGACCATTTAATAACGCTCGCGCGGGTGAAGGTCTTTTACCTATACCTGCAGCAGCTAAACAAAGATCTTTTACCTATACCTGCAGCAGCTAAAACTGCGGAAAAATCGGAGACCGATGTTTAGTGGTGGGACAAAGAGGTAAAACCTGCCTCTCTCGGCACATTCCTTGTTTCTGTACGCACACTATGAAATAATACGATGAATAATTTCGTCCATAAGCAACCACTCCACTAGGATGGTTAATATTTTCATTAATTTCAATTGTATCCCATTGTCATAGGTTCTTTAAACACGTCAATCGAAGTTAGTACAATGGTCACCCTGCTCTGTTTATATTTCACCCGTCTCCAATTCGGCAACCGTTCCCATCGGACGGATCACGAATTTTTCTTTACAGAATATACATATCCGTACGTACGTACGTACATAAAAGTAGGACAAGCAGATCGCAGCGTCTAGCCTGGTGGCAGTAGGTAATGTATGGTCAGACGAATAACAAACCGAAAGAGTCAAACAAGACCAGACAAGATACTCCTATTATTACATACACATATTATTAGGTACTGTTAGTACGTAAGGAACGCGTGCAAGTGACAAATACACATGTTTCAATAGGGTACCTGTACATACAAAAAACCGTACATCATACTGTGATGTTGTATGCATATCCGGGAACTTTTGCAGAATGCAAAACCCAGATAAAGTAATTATTGAATGGCGACAGGGTATTCCTAATCGTTTATTACTTTTTCCCCAAATTCCCGAATGTCTGGCCTACGTGCGTACAACGCCAGCATTCTCGTGAAAAATGAATAAAATATCGATGACCGATGTGCAATTGCTCAGTATGCAGATTGTTTATAATCTAGATGGAGCGATGATCGAGCAATTACATCTTATCATTGACCGCGATTTCGAAATACGGTTTACCTCTGATTGGGAATTGTAAGGCGTTTAACGCGAATTCCTATTCGGGTATTAATTTCGGTTGCGAATCAACGACACGAACGGAGGAGAATCTTCCGTTCCTGCATTTCGCATTGATTCTCAGTGTTGGAACAAGGACAGGTCTTTTTATAAAACGTGTCCGAGTCTCGGACATCCCCCCGATCATAAGCTCTATTTTGACCGATCGCCGGTAGACAAATCACATCCCCGTATTGGGCCTGCAGCAGGT